TTCGGCATTAAATTAAATCATTTAGGCTCACATAGAAACGGCTTCATTCGGCGAATTAGATCCACCTTGCTTTTTTAACTTTATTCATAATAGTGTTTATCGGCTACTTAATTTCTTCGATGGTCGTGTATATATACATTTCTTGACTTTCTGAATATAATCAGACTTGTTTAACACTACTGTTCAGTTGCATTTGTCCGATTTATCAATTACTATATTGTTGTCATTTTGAAGGTTCTTCAAAACTTCTTTTTTCTGCTATCGGTAAATTCTGTTTTGCTTTCTTCTATCGCTTAAGTGTTAGAATATATTTTGCTAGTACCTCATCTACTACTGCTATATCTACAGAACATAATACTATTTCTGGCATGATATTTTCAAGTTTCAATTATATAACTGTTATACTGAAGTTAAATCCCCTCTTCATCACACTTACTTCTGTTACGCTTAGTCAAAGTAATCCAATTCACCTATGAATTAGAACTCATTACTTCTATCCAGCTTTAGTTACAATAAAATTTACTTTCATTCAATGTTGTATGGTAACATTAATATTTTAAAAGGCGACTAATGAAATTCTAATATCATGTAGAATAACCAATAGAGACATTATTAAGCATATGTGTAAGTAATTTATGAGAACTAAATTTGCAAGTGTCTAGAAAGATCATCCTGGTTACTACTTAAATAACCAAATGAGGTTATTTTAGGTCTAAAGTTGACTTTTGTCCTAAAATAGATAAATTTCAATTCAATATATCTTAGTAGTTGTTAAGGCACCATTTAGAATCTCTCCATTTTGTCTGAAGGATACACTTCAGTGACTCTAAATGGTTATGACTGACACCTGAATAACTTTGATTGATGAAAGTTCATGAGTTACTTACTCACTAACCACACTGTGGTTTCACAACACATTTTGTCGAATCAATCAAGTATTCATTGCTTCCCACTAACTCTTTTAGCTCACCTGTATCGTATTACACCGGCTTAAACGCTACTTTCTACACCATGAAATACAATAATTTTAGAAAACCTTTTAGAGATTTTTGGGGAGCGGCTGATTTCAAAATGGTATTTATCATTGACTGACGTCAGTTGGAGGACTTTTGAAAACATTGGACCATTAGACATCTGTTTCATCTTGGCATGCAACGGATCCGTAGTGCACACTTACTAACTTGACAGGGACCGAACCGAGGATCACCAGGTATTGTGATAGGCATATCAACTACCAACAGCTCACATTTTCCTACTTCCGCAGAAGTGCAATTTAGTGTGAACATCATCTCCCTGCTATCAGTGATTACCTGACCCATAGGTCACGACTTTCTATAAGAACTTCAATGAATCCATCTTGAAGCCTGTCACTAATGAGCAGTAGACAGTAATCTAGTTTAAAGGTTTGTGTGTACTGAGCACTTGGTTTGGTAAAATCAATGGAAAAGAACCTGCGAGGAGTGGATAGCTTCGAGATGAATTTGCCGAAGACCTGTCGCTCACGAACTCACCAGTGGTGGAAGTAGGAAAATGTGAACTATTGGATTCCGACCTAGTGACTGAATAGTTGATGCGCTCACTATAATACTTAGTTGCTCTAGGTTTGATCCCTATTGAGGTCGCTGCTGCGCGAAAACCGAAGAATTGCATAGTGGAAGGAAATATTTGTTATGCGCTCCCACGTTTTCAGTGATCCTCCAAATTATGTCAATTCCTAACGAATGCGAACTAGATAAGTAAAATTTACTTGGTTGTGGCTAGCAGAGGAATCCACCACGTGCGTTTCGTCCTGATTGAGACTCGTCAACTGCATGAACCTGCACCCCAGTGTGGAGTGATGTTGTTCCCACTGAGACTAGAACTTCATATCCATCGCTTCAAACGCCAAAGCACTATCCACTAGGCCTATGCTAGCCAAAATTAAATAAAATATCGTAAAAAATATTCAGGCAATATCCAGGCATCCACGTAGGAGCTTTTTTGTCAATAAAGGTCGAACAATTCGGTGCAGTATAACAAACGAGAATTACAAGCATATCAACAAATAGATACATATGGTTTAAAAGTCTAGACAAGACTTTTTATTGAATATCCAGCAGGCAGAGGCACTAAAGTACCCTCATAATTGAAAATATCATATTTAAAATTCACTCAATGCAGAATAGAGTCTGTAATTTATTATTCCATATTGGAATCATAAAATAAATATGGAATTACTTAGTACAATAAAGTCTAAAATGCCACTGATTGGATATAAAATTTTGTAATAAATACATCTAATGACAATTAGTGTAAACTATTATTATTACTATGGTGCCCGACTACATCCGTTAACGTTAAATACAAATTGTAAAAATTATATAATAGAACAGGTAAATTAATTTATTGGCAAGCTTAATGATGAATAAAGTTAGTCGAATTGTACAGTATTATTAAACACTTTATCAGAATGATAACCAGACTATGGATTGACGCTTAATCGCTTAAAGTAGAATCATAAACTTGATATGAAAACAGACAGCATCACGAGGTTTTCGAGTATATGAGGCTGATTTTTTAGATTGTGATTAAATAATTGGACGCCTAATAAGTGAACAGGAAAATCACAAAGAAGACAGTCTAATCAGCAACGACGACATACAAGCTATAATATCAGACCATGCTATGCGCGTTGCACAAGATGTGGCTGTCGTAGCTCAGTGGATGATGCTTTGGCGTTTGTAGTGGTTGGTCATGGGATAAAGTTTCGGTGGGAACAACACTGCTCACTAGGATGCAGTTACATCCGGCTGAAGAGTCCCAAACAGGACGAAACATGAGTACGGGATTTCAATTTCATTCACTATCTATCGATAATATCATAAACTGAAAATACTGATAATAATGAAGCATCTGCACAGGAGACCATATGCCTGCCAGCATTGGCCGTTATATTCGGTCCAATGATGGAAGCATATAAGCTACAACATAAAAATGGTGAAATGTTGCTGTCCAAATATCAGTTAAGTGATGTGTGCAACCTTACCTAATACTATAACTTGTATTAATTTCTTCGCCTGTCTGTCTGTCTAATCTTTAGCGCTGAACACTAACCGAAGTTTATCAGTGGTCACTGAAGTAAGTGATGCAATGCTACACTGCTCTGTGGTATATGTTAATAGTCAATTGGTAGAAAGTTGGGCTTGACTTCGGATAATTCAAAACGCTTAGTTACCTAACATAATCAGTTTTTACAATTATACCTTTTGTTTAATTTTTAACAATCAGTAGATGGATGATAACCTTCAGCAGGTAGTGTTATTCACTGCACTAACAAAAATCAGCAGTGAAATACAAACCTATCAGTCAGACTAAGTGATATGACTATTGAGTGAAATAGATTTTAGTCTCTGACAAGCGGAAACAGTTGACGGTGAGTCGTAGTAATGAGTTTCGTAAATGTAGATAGTTCTAGGTAGGGAATAGTAGCAAATTGGAAAGCGAATTCACAACTACGCTCCTTTAAGGCAAAACCACTGTATGCGTAAATGGTATAAACTTCCTTCTCGGTTGCGAAAATACGTCATTGGTTGAGAGAATTGCCGTGTTACGAAAAGCAGTTCCAACAAACTGCACACATACATCACATCAACAGCTGCAGTCTACGCTTGCTCACTGACACACTGACACTGAAGATCAGATCAGATGAGAAGGCGAGAAAGCATAAGCAAGAAGGAACTCTGGTCTGACAACGAACCAACCAACCGAGAACCCATCACCCATCAACTATGCGGAAGAAGAAGGTGGAGATGGATTGGATTGGTTTGGATGTACACTGGGAAGACCATTCGGAGACATCACGGGCCAGGCCAAGCCTTCGAGTGGAAGCCGAATGGGAAATGACGAGTTGGGCGTCCCAGCTGAGGGTGATGTGGAGGAGGTGGTGTGAGGAAGAAATGCAAGCTTGTGGGCAGTCATGGAGCCAGGTTAAAAAAAAATACTGTAGAGAAGTGAGTGAAATGACGATGTGTTACTGAATTCCTGTATTCCACTAAGAACCCAAGGGACAAATAACAATGATATAAAATGAAAAATAACACATTCTAAAATAAATGAACTATAATTTGATTGTTACAACTTACAATTTTTAAACTTTGGATGTTGACTAACTGAAATTGTTTTGTATAGGATGTAGTCACTAAGTTGAGGATCTGAACACCAAGATTAACCTTGGATGCCATTAGAAGGTTGAAAGCTTGTAGCTTCCAGATGATTTCATAAGACAAAACAGACCCCACAAACTAACGGATTTATGCTTCTACCTTCTAAGAAGTATGTCATGGAAATGGTAACTAGACTGTTGAAGTCCACTGGAATCTTTGTGAATCATAGGTTTACTAAATATCTACTCTCTGTAATTAGTATATCGAAAGGCGTAAAAAAATGAGATACAGCCATCTCTATTAAAGCACCAATACGTGCTTAAGTATCATTTTAATGCAAGTGGTCAATTCTAAACTTTGTCAGATGAATATATAGTCACCAGAAGTATTGAAACTGGCACGGAAAGCACGGAAAGTAACTGTAAGATAACAAATCAAGCCAGTAAGACAGTTAATGAAAATACCTTCTTAGGCGATGATAGTAAAACTGAAGTGTTAACTACACACTATTTAACCGCTTGTATAAGTGTTCTCATAACTGACGGCCAATTTGATTTTATACTGACAATATTGTTTAGAATGTAGACAATGGCTTCATAATTAAACTATCTCACAGAGCAAAGTGAGAATCATATAGAATTTTTTTAAATATACACAATTTTATTATATTCATATACAGAGAAAATAAGATCATATAAATAAAAGGGGGAACAAATGTATTCATAAACATATGTGGTTGACTAACTGTATATTTTTCTGGTTAAGTATTTAAAATAAAAGATTATCAGTTTTCATTGTATAATAGAAATTGGAAGACTAATAGTAACACTAATAATAATTACATAATGTACAGACATATTAAACTGAATTCTGATTAACTTCATATTGTAGTAAATATTCTTTCAATATAAGCAACTCTTTACGTTGATTCTCAGCCAATGATGTCTAAAAGGATTAGTTTTAAAACAAAATACAACATGATTTAGACTATGAAGAAGTTAGACAAAGGAAGAAAACATTAAAAAGTAATATTACCTTATAAACATTACACAATGATGAACAGTTGGAAAACCTTAGTTTAAGACAACTATTTCTTAAAGGCGGATTACAATTCATGACTTCAATGCCAGTGTCTAGTAGGTAGGATGTTTTGACTTCATGCTATATATACATATATAAATATATATATATATATATATATATATATATATCTTTAGTGAAAATTTTGATTGAACCGCAATCATCTTTTACGCAATCCGAAAACACTGAATTCATTAGCTTGGTTAAACGTTATGAGTGTTATCATACCAGCTCTCGAAACTATTATTATTATCATTTATCATTTGTCCTTTGGGTTCCTAATAGAACATAGGGATTTAGTAGCACATCTGCAGTATACTCCTCTCTCTGTAAACTTTTGAACCTGGTTCCACGACAGCCCAGAAGCTCTCATTTCCCAATCACACAATCTCTTCCATGCCACCCTCACCTCAGACGCCCAACTCGTCGTTTCACATCTGCGTTTCACTCGAGTGACTGGCCTGATGCGTAATATCCACAGTCAAACTTCTCAGTGTATATCCAATCCAATCCATCTCCACTACCTTCTGCATATTTGTTGAGTGATCGGTTCTCCGTTGGTTTGTTGACAGCCAGCCAGTCAGAGTTCCTTCTTGCTTATTCCCATTATTCTGGCCATCTGAGCTTCAGTATTGAGCCAGAGTAGGCAGTTGTTGATGAATGTGTGTAGTTTGTTGAAAATGCCTTTCGTAACACGCCAAGTCTCTGAACCATCACATAGAAGCAATAACTTGATTGAGATTAGTGTTGCGAATCCGGATGTTGTTCACGCTTTATGCAGAAGATCTCCACACTAGTTTTAGGTTAATGAAAGCCTGTCTTTCCGATGCTGGCTGCTTTGACGTCCTCGTCTGTGCTGCCACCTGTAGTTGAGACGATGCTGACTAGCCAGATAGGTGTAAAAGGCTACTTCCTTTAAGTTTCTCCCGTTGATGCTGATTGGAGCTTATTGTTGTTGTTGGTTGAGTATCCTCATCACCTCTGTCTTCTCTTTGTTCACTTGAAGTCCTATCTTCGCTGCCCTGCCTCTTCTGTCAACTTGTTGGTTTTCGCCTGCAGACCTCCATATTATTCACTGTTGACTAGTTGTGGGACTGGTTTAAAGAATTGAAGATTTGGTCAGTGTATTATGGATAGGATCTGAAAGATTATGCAACTTAGTGGCTGAAAATGATCTTAGATATAACTTATAAATGAAACTAATGATGATCATGTTACAGGGGTTTCTTGCTTCTTCTATGATCGAAAAGTCTAAGTAAAATAAACATTAGTGGTGGTTTGATGTTCTTTGAAAAATGTGTAGCATTTTGAATCCTACACGAATGTTTAACCCTAACAAAGATTCTCTAGCAGTGTGACTGAATGAAATTCAATTTTGAAGAGGTCAAGGTGTGACAAATATCTCTTTTCCAACTTATAACTGGTCAACACTCATGTATTAACAAAAACTCTATCTAAACACCTGCTTAATATCCGAATATACTTCACTTCTTTCTGAAGTTTTTACTTGAGGATATCATCAAGCCTAGTGATGAAATGTCCTCTACAAGTCGTTAGAGATCACACGATGCCAAACCACTATCATTCTCATCTTGAGCTACAAATCTTCTCCATCATTTCGGAGCAAGTAAAGATTCTTTGAATTTGTCTTTCGAACTACCATGTCAACAAACCATTTTAATCCTTATTTCTTTTTCTGTTTTGCTTTCTTTCTTCCGTCCAGTTTTTACCTTCAGTTTAGTCATGAAGGATTTCGTCCCACTGCAATGTGAATCCCCCAAAAAGATATCCCCGTTCATTTTCATAATCACACTGATTGTCTAGTCAAGTCTTCTCGTCTCGATGAAAATCGATGCGACTATCAGTATTATTATTAGTAATGTTCCCTTGGGTTCCTAGTGGAACATACCGCTTAAGTAGCACGTCTCTATTTCACTCCCTTCTCTTCAGTCTTTTGGACCTCATTGTACTACTGCCCACAAGCTTTCATCTCTTCCTCACATCATCTCCATATCACCGCCTCGGACGCTGAACTTGTCGTTTCCCATTTCGATTTCACTCTGTGGCCTGGCCCGGCTCATGATGTCCCAATCGGCCTTCTCAGTGTATGCCCAATCCACCTCCACTTTCTTCTCCTGCATATTTGTTGGGAGATACGTTGTTGGTTGGTTCGTTGTCAGGCCAGAGTTCCTTCTTGCTTATTATTTCTGGTCATCTGATCTTCAGTATCGAGTGAGTGAGCGTAGACGGCATCTGTTGATGAATGTCTGTAGTTTGTTGGAAATGCTTTTCGTGATGCACCAAGTTGCTGAAGCATATAGAAGCACTGACTTAACTAAGATTAGTGTTGAAAATCCGGAATTTGTTCTCACCTAGGTAACTAGTTCATTAGTTGGTAGCCGGTCCTAAGCCCGAATAAATAAGGTAAGGTTTGGCATAGGGCTAGCAACCCTACCCCATAAAACCAATCTAACCGCTAAAGAAACTTTACACATAGATCAGTTTATTATTAGCAGTACATCCCAGTTCTCTTAACCCGTATCTCATTCATTTCGTTTTATTGGAAACATAGCGTCACCCTGAACCCTATCATGAGTTTTCCTTCTTCCGTGTGTTCTGAATCCGTTTTCCTTATTCAATGTCCATTTGAAACCATCCACAATCACATTCATTTCATGTTCATATTCGCTATATGTCAACATCCAAGTCATTCCAACCTGGACAGAATTAAAAGTATACTAATTACCGTTATTAGTTGCTTGATGCTGTCTAGCAGAGGAATCCAGGATTGGGTTTCGTCCTGGTTTGGACTCATCAACTGGATGTACCTGCACCTCAGTAAGTGATGGTATTCTCACTGAGATTCGGACCTAGTATGCATCATTTTAACCGCCAAAGGATTATTCACTAGAACAATGAAGTGTGGTTGCCACGGTAAGCCATATAACAGTAAATATTCATGGTGTATCCAGGTATCCATATAGGAGCTCATGTCCCAGCAGATATCGATCATTTCCATCCAATCTAACAACGGGAAATTACAATTATCAACCAATAATAATCTAATTACATTGCCTAACATGAATGTGATTTCACATAAAGCGTATTCAACGCAAACTTGTCCAGCATTGAAAACTGTCATTCTAGAACTACTGGAACTAAAGAGGATTTATTGAAAAGAATATTCTGTATGCCTGTAGAAAGAGAGACAAAATCAATGTCGAACCTCATACACAAGTGGATAGGTTCAGTTTGTCACATTTTACATTAGTATACGAAGAATGTGTGGATAGAAAAAGAGTGATATCAACGTGGACAAAATTGTGTCAGAGAATAAGCCACTTGAAGGTAGAGGCTAGTGTGAATATTCAAGCTTTACAAGACGTCAAGGAGTGAGTGCATTTGCACCATTGAGACCGATTTCTAGCCACGTCACCAACAGTCAGTCCTCAACCTCTCATTCTTATCGTCTCGAGGACCGCATCCAGGCAGTTTATATCTCTCCATATGATTAAGACCAACAGACAGGAATTTCATGGGCTGGTACCTTGTTCGACCATTATGAGCCTACTTTCAACTTGATTCTACTTCCCCTAAGATGATACATATGGTCTTTTAATAAAAAATATCACTAGAAAATAATTTTTTCTACCTACCAGTATGTTATCCCATCTCTCTGTAAATTGTTCCAAAGCATCAACCAATGTTATCATGTTGGTCCTGTAGTTCAAAAAAAAGGAAAACAAAATGAACAATAGTTCCATATTAGATTTGTTTATTTGATATAAAGCGCACAGTGATACAGTATTATTTACTTGATTACGTTTCGAGCATAAATTATTGCTCATAATCATATCAATGTAATCACACTTCTTTCGACATCTGATTTTATAGTCCTGTCACCTGATCTCTCTTTGTTTTTTTGTTTTTTGATTGGTAGTAAAGTTTTCCATATCTCTGGTATAGGTGTTGCGTCATTCCTATTACATGTGTTGGGTGTGGATTCGATGAACAAAGATTCAGTAATTAATCTCTCTCTCCACCTAGCTATATTAGACTTAAGTACAGTGGTTTTGTCCCATCCTATTGTGTGGTTGTGTGTTAATGAATGTAATGCAATGGCTGAGTGTTTTTCTAGGTTATTGATCTTATTGGGGTCTGTCGTTCTATGTTTAGCTAAATTCCTATGTTCTGTTAATCTAACTGACCCCGACCGGCTAGTTTGACCTATGTATTTGACTTCACAGTCATTACATGGAATTTGGTAGATTATATTATTTTGCTTAATTGGTTCTATCGGATCTTTTAGCCGACACAGCTTACCTCTAAGTGAGTTTGTTGGTTTAAATGCCACCCTAATTCCAACCTTGTTGAGAATCCTACGTATGGTTTCTGATGTTCCTTCCTTGTATGGTATCACAATAGAGGTGCTGATTTCCTTTCTACTTATGTTGTCACTATTATTTGTATTTGTATTAGTGTTATTATTTTGCTTCTTATGCGTCCGTGTGAATTTCTTAATAAAATGATGGGGATAATTATTAGTTATTAACGCTTCTTTTATGTGTTTCAATTCCTTATTTAAGTCCTTACAATGACTAGTGAGTTTCTCAGCTCTGTTATTTAGACATTTGACTAAACCCGCTTTAACTGACACTGGATGAGATGACTTGAAGTCTAGATACCTGTTAGAATGTGTTGGTTTTCTGTAGACGGTAGTATCTAAACCACCATCTATCCTTCGTTTTATTCTGCAATCCAACATAGGTAATTCTCCTTGTTCATTTTCTACTTCGTAGGTGAATTGGATTGCGTTAACTACTGAGTTTATGTGTGTCAAGAAACTGTCGATATGTTCCGATTTCAACACTGTAAATGTGTCATCTACATATCGCCACCATATCTTAGGTGTCGGATTATATGTTCGTAAAGCCATATCTTCCCAACTATCCATAAATATATCTGCTACTATAGGGGATATTGGTGATCCCATTGCTACTCCTTCTGTTTGTCTGTATATCTTTCCCATGAATGAACAATAACGCCTAGTATGTGTGCAACCGCAGGAACGAACATTGTTGAAAGTTTTTTCGTGATAAGAACACACAGTATGGTTGAAAGTTAATCATTCTAAAAAAATTCATCTTTAAATGAACCAAATAAAAAATGAGTCCTTTCCTGACAAAGAAGGCCTATTTGGATTTTATTGCAGATATTAACAGAAGGACTTCGTTTTTTTTCCAATATAGTAGAACTTTTCTACGGAATAAGGAAGGTGCGCCCTAATTCGATGCCATGTTTCTATAACCCTTCAGATAAATGTATGATGAAGAGATTACCAGTTGATAGTGAGTGATGTTGTATCACAGTTAGAAAAACTGTAGATTAGCACTTGATAATAAGCACTTACCACGATTACCTCCCAGTCTTACGAATGTCTAGTTGGTCTCATAATGAATTTCTTTACTGTAAACTTCATATCAGATCTGTTGCCATACAATACAATGAAAAAGTATTGTTAAATTCATAACCTCTGGAATAAAACCCAATGATCATATTCATGTCAATATATATTGACTGGTCATGGCAGTGCAACCAATTTCATGTTGTCTAGTCCTGAAGGCAGACCGAATCCTATCGATCATATTTGAAATGTGCCAACCAAGCTAGGAAGCTCAGCATTGCGGTGCACAATAATAGATGATAGTTGGTTGGAAGCAATCGGCAGGAAGCCCTGCTTGACCTAGATTTCGTGCTTTTTGACACTTGTCAGAAAGGCGTATCTGCAAACTCGACGCAACTGATGTCCCTCCTGAGGTTCGAACCCGCGTCGCCCAGTGTTGTAGTCAGCGACTTTATAAATGAGCTATTCGGTCCGAGATCCGCATCCTGTAGGACTGGCTTACATGTATTGATTTGTCCTACAGGAGGTAAATCGCGGACCGAATAGCTCATTGATAAAGACGCTGACTGCAACACTGGGTGATGCGGGTTCGGATCTCAGGTGGACATCAATTCCGTTGGGGTTGCAGATACGCCTTGCTGACGGGTGTCAAAAAGCACGAAACCTAGGTCCAGGGCTTTCTGACAAACCAGGGCTTCTTGCCGATTGCCTCCAACCAACTAACATTTACTCATGTTAGTATGATCACAAAACTTCTGACATCAGATTCTTATACCTTTATTATCTGTCATCCAGAAAGATAATGTTGCTAAGATGCCTTTAAACCTTAGACTGAATTTCAAAGGTGATATTGCCTTTAATATCCTAACACATCAGTTAATTAGATCAGTTGTATGGATATTCATTACAAGCAGTTTAACTGCTTCTGTGCAGCCACTTACTCAGGCTATACTCAAAGGGTTCTATTGAAGCATGCTTGTAGACATGTACCAGCTTGGTTAAGCAAATGAATGACAAAATGTGTCAGTAGTGCAATTCTCTCGCATCCAGTATATACAAGACATCACATCAAGACAGATCACGCCTTTTCTAATACAAATAGTATTCAGTGTATTCTTATCAAAGGTGCACCATTACACATCTTATCCACAACGGAAGCCATAGACACCAATACAAGAGTATAACTCGTTATAGAATGACTTCTTTACCCTTAGTAAATGAACACTATTCATTTATGTCTCAGATGTATGTAAATGAATCATTATCTTTGAGTTTTGTCTCCTTATTTAGTAATTGTTGTGTCAATATTGACCTCATTGTACAACTAACACATTAGACTGATTACTGTTTCACCTGATTGATGAAAACTTACATCCATTTGATTCGATCTCCATTCATTCATGCATAACACTGTGTTCCAACACTGAAATAAATGTACACTATGCTTAACTTTGTCTATTATAGTTCACCTATTCTCATGAATTTATAACTGTAAAACCTGCAGAAAAAGATTACTGAAAATAATTGTTCACTCAAATTATTCTTGTTCTAAATTTCACAAATATTTTCAATGAATAATTTTAGCAATTAAGTATTCCCACTAAAACAAGTCGATTAAAATGAATTCATGTATACATTACAAAAGGGAACATTACCTTATCATATTATGATATTTTTTCCTTGAGTTCCTATTGAAACATAGGGCTTCAGTACCATGCCTTGATTGCACTCTCTTCACTGAAGTATTTGTATTCTCGCTCCACCACTGCCCACAAGCTCTCATTTCCCAATCACACAATCTCCTCCATGTCACCCTCACCTCCGACACCCAACTCATCGTTTCACATCTGCGTTTCACTTGAGTGACTGGCCTGATGCGTAATGTCCACAGTCAAACTTCTCAGTGTATATCCAATCCAATCCATCTCCACTACCTTCTGCATATTTGTTGAGTGATCGGTTCTCCGTTGGTTTGTTGACAGCCAGCCAGTCAGAGTTCCTTCTTGCTTATTCCCATTATTCTGGCCATCTGAGCTTCAGTAATGAGCCAGAGTAGGCAGTTGTTGATGAATGTGTGTAGTTTGTTGGAAATACTTTTCGTAACGCGCCAAGTTTCCTAACCATCACATAGAAGCAATGACTTGATTGAGATTAGTGTTGAAAATCCGGATGTTGTTCACGCTTTATGCTGAGTGCAGTGCAGAAGATCTCCACACTGGCTTCACACTGCTTTGACGTCCTCGTCTGTGCTGCCACCTGTAGTTGAAACGATGCTGACTAGCCAGGTAGGTATAAAAGGCTACTTCCTTTAAGTTTCTCCCGTTGATGGTGATTGGGGCTTGTTGTTGTTGTTGGTTGGGTATCTTCATCACCTCTGTCTTTTCTACGTTCACCTGAAGAGAGTCTCATCTTCACTTCTCTCCCTCTCCTGTCAACTTGTTAGTTTTCGACTGTAGATCTTCGAGTTTGTGTGACATCAGACACAAGTCATCGCTGGAGAAATCCAAATCTTCTTCTGTGGTCTTTTCATCTGTCCAGCCAACATATCCTCCTCTTCTCCCTTCTCACTGTTTGTTGCATGATCCAGTTCAGTAGACCACAATCAGGAATATTATGGGTGATAGTAGATAACCTTGTTTCACTCCTGTCTTCACTTCAGTTCAAAGGCATCACTGAGCTTCCCATTGTGAAGTACTTGGCATGTGGCGTCTTCATATAGTTGTTGAATGCGATTGATAAAGGTTTGTGATATTCCGTAGTGCTGAAGCAACTGCCTGCTAAATTACTTCTATGTCGAAGCTGTTGAAGGCCTTTTCGAACTCGATGAAGTTGAGGTAGAGATCCAGTTGAATGCCATTCTATGCTGTGTTCTATGATGATGCATAGTGTAGCGTTGCAATTTGATCCTCAATGATTTATACTTCTTGAATCTAGCATGTCCCAATCATATGACTTCATACACCAGTTTTTCCAAACCCAGTTTAGACTGGTCCTTTATTACCTTTCACTTGTAGCCGATTAGTTACACATTCCATACGTTTGTTTCATTTATAATACACATTGATCTAGTATTATTTACTTGATAACCACTTTTCAAGGATAAATTATCATTGCTCATATTTATATCACTATAATCACACTCCGCTTTCGACATTCGAGTTTTATAATCCTGTCACTTTACATTCTTTTGTTTTTAATGGTGATGAAATTTTCCGTATCTCTTGTTAAGGTGTTACGTCATTCTTATTACATGTGTTGGGTTTTGGTTGATTCAATGAACAAAAATTTAGTAATCAATCTCTATTTCAGCCTAATTGTCTTGGACTTGAGTAAGGTGGTTTCATTCCCCCCCCTGTATTGTGTGGTCGTGTGTTAATGCATGGATTGCAACAGCCGAGTTTCCTTCTAGATTATTCATCTAATTGGGTCCTGTCATGTTATATTTAACTAAGTTCTTACGTCCCGCCATTCTAACTGACCCCAACCTGCTAGTTTGGCTTATGAACTTCACCCCTCAGTCATTACATGGAATTTGTTAGATTCGATTATTTTACTCAATGGCTTCCATCGGATCATTAAGCCAACCGACAAGGCTTATCTCCGAGTGAGTTTTTAGGTTTGAATATCATTCTAATTCCAGCTTTATTGAGGATCCTACATAAAGTTTTTAATGTACTTTCTTTATAGGGTAACACAACGAATTCTGTGAACTCCTTTCTAATTGTGTTGTTGATTACTGAATCTTTGTTCATCGGATCAACACGCAACATATGCAACATTTATACCAGAGATGTGGGAAATTTTACTACCAATAAAAACCAAGGATATTAGGTGGCAGGACTATCAGAATCAGATGTCGAAAGTGTTGTGTGATTACAGTGATATAATTATGAGCATCATTATGAACATCATTTACGACGGAAAAGAACTAGAAGACTTGGATTTCGCCGATGACTTATGCCTAATGTCACATAAACTTGAAGATCTGCAGGCAAAAACTAACAAGTTGACAGAAGAGGCAGCCAAGACGGGACTTCAGGTGAATATAGAGAAGACAGAAGTGATGAAGATACCGCACCACCACCATCAACAACAACAACAACAAACTCCAATCACCGTCAACGGGAGAAACTTGAAGGAAGTAACCTCCTTCACTTATCTAGGAAGCATTGTTTCAACTACAGGCGGGACGGACGAGGACGTGAAAGTCAGAATCGGAAAAGCAAGACAGGCGTTCATTAGCCTGAAACCAGTGTGGAGATCTTCTGCACTCAGCATCTGGAACAAGATACGGATTTTCAACACCAACGTCAAGTCAGTGCTCTTGTATGGCTCAGAGACTTGGCGCGTCACGAAAGGGATTTCCAATAAACTACAGACATTCATCAACAACTGCTTACGCTCGCTGCTGAAGATCAGATGGCCAGAAAAAATAAGCAACAAGGAACTCTGGGAACGAACCAACCAAGAAGCTATCACGCAACAAATATGCAGGAGGAAGTGGAGATGGATTGGCCATGCACTGAGAAGGCCGACTGAGGACATCACGCGTCAGGCCCTCGAGTGGAATCCCCATGGGAAGCGACGAGTTGGACGTCCGAGGGTGACATGGAGGAGGTCATGCGAGGAGGAAATGAGAGCTTCTGGGCTGTCGTGGAACCAGGTTCAAAAGATCTCAGAGAACAGAGGTCACTGGAGGCGTGCTACTGAAGCCCTATGTTCCACTAGGAACCCAAGGGACTAATAATAATAATAATAATTATGAGCAATGATAATTTATGCTCGAAACATGGTCATCATGTAAATAATACCTTATCGCTGTGTGTTATAAATCAAATCAACAAATCGAATATGGAATTAAATTCCAACACGGTGTCTAACTTTTACACCTATATTAATGTAGCTAATTAGCCCTACATTCAAAAAAGTACATCCAAGAAAGTCATTTTGCTAGTTTCATGATAAAAGAAGTATTTCAAAGTGAAATTCATCATGGACTGATATAGGCTGCAAAATCATTGATGAACTAAGAGCAAGGAATATGTTTTTCATCATGATAGATGGCTTATCAACAGTTCTAACACACTAGCCCACTTGGGTTCGAATCCAAGACTGTCACATTTCGTGATGAAAGCCCTACCGTTGAGTCAGTGGACTAGTTTGCCCACAGAGGTATATCAGATTCTGACTTGGACAAATTAAATGAATATGGAAATCTAAATATTTTCTACGTTATTGCTCTACAAGTTCTCCATTGGAATCGTTTTTCTTGTTCTTGCATAACGAATCAGTCAGCACTATCATCGTTGAAATAAGTGATTTAGAAAATTGTTACAGCTTGATCAACAACGTTTTCAATGACATCAAATTCAAAATGGAGAAACAGTCGAACAACCAAATACCATTCCTGAATGTTTTTTCCAGTAGGACAAAGGCTGGAATTCTGGAAACCAAAGTGTACAGAAAGACAACACACACTGAACAAATCCTCAACTACAATAACAACAACACAACATCACACAAAATCAGTTGCTTACAGACTCGATTCAAAAGAGAGTGAGAACACACTGCAGCACAACAACTTCATGGAGAAATGAGGAAAATTACTTGATGTCCACCATAAAGAAGAACGACTATCCACGAAACTCTATCAGGAAATGACTATCCCATGCATCATCACTTACATAGATATCGACAGAAATCAACAAATGCATCATACTACAATACATAAATAACACATATCAGATATCACAACAAGATTAATGAAACATCTCGGAAGTGGTGTGGCTCACAAACCAAGAAATCACCTACAAACACTATTATACAGAACAAATAATGCAACAACCATAGACGACAAACCGAGCATCATTTACAAAATCAACTGGAATAACTGTAGTCAATACTACATTGGACAGAGTGGTCACCCTCTTCACCTTCGTCATTTACATGAGCACCGATTAGCTACTAAACGTCACACATGACATCTCATCAGTCATTTCAGTGCAGGTGGATAACAACTATGCATATGAATTGGATGTGGACAGTGTAGAAATTCTGGATGGAGAGAGGAAACACGAATAATATCAGGGAGTTTCTGGAGGCTTGTCATTCAGATCAGTTAGTCAGACAGTCAGTCAGTGAGTCAGACAGTCAGTCAGTCAGCAACCGATAGATGTATAGACGTAGACCCAATCTATCAACAGATGAGAAAAATGAAAAGTGAGAGAAAGGTGAGAGGTGAAGAAGATGAAGAAGATGAAGAGCCGGCCAACATGCAAATGTATTCAGTGGATGACACAACAATCAAAGGAAGCAAGCAATGACGAACCAGTTTGTCAAGACAAGCTACTGAATGATTCATGGAGAGATATTGACAGTTCACTTCATAGTGAAGTAAGTGCTGATGATGTCTGTGTCTAGAAGAAGGACGATGAAAGCTGCATGATGGAACAACCCAGTTCAGAGAACACAATACGACTTAAATCAGTCAGTTTGAAATATCAATAAGTAGGAACTCACTGTTTATAGGGGTTATTGGACAACGTTTCTGTTAAATTCACATTATTGCCGGTTGTTCTACGCAGACAAGAAAGCCTATCCATTTGTTTAAAGTTATCTGGATTTGTAAATGACCGTGAGGTTTCTCTGCTTAGCCCTCCTTGATTATTTGTTGTACTGTCAGAACTTCGTGAACTATTTCCTATTGAAAAGGAGTTTGTTTGCGTTTGTGAAACTGGTGAAAGTGTTGGTGAATAGGCGGAAGAACTACCAGAAGGTGATTTTCTTCCTAGTGTATTACCTGATCTTCGATGACGTGATTCACCCAGTCGTCTTGCTGCATGCTTTCTCATAACAATCTAAAATATCCAAAGAGAAATTAAAAAGGTTTCTTCTTTGACTACTGGTCATTGGTGCAACAATAATTCTCGATATAAAAAAGGTAATTCCATTATAAGAACTGAATTACTGAATTGAGAAGATAAAATATGTCAAGTCTGGGATAATAGAAAAAAAATGATTGAATTGAAGAGATTTTATAGTCACCTTTTTTCCTCAGTTGTACACTTTACAAGCACCAATGTGTAGTAGTCAAAAGACCTCGGAAAACAACGATGAAAAAGATTACTTATGTGATATGAGTCTCTGACTCAAGTGAGAGCGTAAGAAGTGTTATGGTCAGCATCTATCAAGACCTATAATATTACAATCATGAATGCTTAAATTACAGGTGACGGATGCCAACTTCTTCTTGAGACGTATGACCTTCCATAGATAGGTTTTTTTGAATCTTACTATACTCTGAAAACTGCTTTGTCTGTCTGTGAAGGATAAACCTAAGTTAGGGTGCAGATGACATTTCTATAAATTACTAAAAATCAGACAGTCGACTATTAAATTAGTTGTAGATGAATGGTACTCAAATGTTCAATTATAAGAGTAGATAGAGTTTGAATTAACGCAAACGTCATCTAGACAAGAAGTAATGGAGGAAATCATTATGTACTTTGGCTATCTTACGGAATAAGTAGACTGAAATTCTTCTAAAGACTCACCACAAAACGCTCCAGCAAAGTAATGAGGAATAAAAGATATTTTCACGAAGACAAGAGATTGCATAGTAACTATGAAACGAAGTACGTACACTACTTTTTTCCTATTCTTTGTTTATCTTCCCGCGTGATGCTATATTCTTCTTGCTCGACAAGCATATTTTTAGCGAAATGATCTTCAACTTTCAATCAGAAGTTATTCTAAAGTTTTCTTACGTCTTCACTAAACATTTTCGAAGGTAAAGGTCTGAGAATGGATCTATAACATGCAATATGAATGCGTGACAACTTCAACTAATGCACTTCTGCCTAGAGTTATAAATTGATGTAACTGGCTAACTAGCTAATTTCTTTTTCATAATTTCGGATGATGTTAGTTGTGTGCCATTCTTGAATCATTAAGAGACATATTTAATAGAACGTTCAGAATTTTACAAACAGATGCCAGAAAGCTCTACTCAACCTAGCTTTCGTCATTCTTGACACTTGTTAACAAGCAGTGTCTAAAACAACCTTGGTGGAACTGACCTCCAGCCTGAGACTCGAGCCCGTGTCAGTGTTGTAATCAGCCAAGTTACCGCTGGGCTATCTGGACGGCAATTAAATGAATTCAGTTGTCAATTCAAGGCAATCAATTTCATGTTGTCTAGTTCTGAGTGATAGCGAAATCCTGTCTATAATTTTGTAATGTGGTCATCAGGACAGAGGACTCGGCATCATGGTACACTTCGACTGCCGTTCTTATGTTAAACAATTTGAGGGGTATGATAACAATTAATTAGTCATTAGAATCGCACTTAAATGATGGAAAAGTCGCTTAAGCTTTTAAGCTTTTCTGATCGTTACTGAAACCCAAAACTCATGTAAATAATCGTACAAACTACTTATATAAACTACACAAGTAGTTTGCGTGTCATTCAATTTGATCTAAATAATGTCAATAAAAAGAGATGTTAAAGTTTTAAGCGCCTAATTCTCAAATTACACTTACAAGGCGCATAGTGAGTCTTTTTTCCATCAGCTAAACTTCTTATTTTTAAGATATGGTGATTACCAATGCAAAATCTGCTGAAGTTCGTAGTATATGAAAATATATGTTGATGGGTCATGTAAATTTATAAGAAGGCTAGTAATTGTTTGTGACTGCTTTCAATATTTTTTTGGCTAACCAATTACAAAACTGTGATCAAACTAAATACCCCTTTCTAAGCAATGATTACAGTTTATTTGACTCTTGTGCTACGCAACGAGTTTGTAGACGTTATCGACTGCAAAAATTTAGTGTTACCTAAGGTCTTAACCGGTTCACTTACAAGATGTTTCTTTTTAGCCTTGAATGTGATAGCTTCAAATCTCTAACAAAATATGAGATTCTATTAGATTGCGCAACTGAAGACTGTTCCAGGTATCGGACTTAAAACCTTCAGGTCTTGTGGTTAGCTAATTTGGCCATTCAGTCGTTGCGTTGTTGTTCAGAGAACCACATTTCCCTAGTTCTGACTGTTAATGATACAGTGTGAGTGTGCAGCAACAGGTGATATTCATGACAAAATGCATATCGAAATCCGCTCACCAACCACGTGTACTTTTATACAGTAAGCAATGTGCGACAACTATTATGTGAGGGTCAAGACCTTGGTAGGTGGAGCGGGCTCGAACATTTGACCCTTTGGTTAGAAGTTGACTACTTAGATGAATTAGTTACATCTGTAAACTGAGTTCTTTTCATCGTTCTTATCCTGAGCAAAAAATCTTTTCTATCACTTCAGTTAGTCCAGGATATATGCCTTAAATGAGACTGAACTGAAAAATAGTAAGAGAAATTCTTGTTTCAATCAGATTTAGGTACTGAAACTCATCTCAAGTGTTAGTGATTGTCTAACCATACATTTCCAACCAAGGATTGTAGCAAAATTTGAATTTTGTTTGTGTTCAATATTGTAGAATGTCAAGAGAAGCACAATTTTGAAGCCTTTCACATTTGAACAAAATGTTTATTTCCAATATTTTATTAAATTATGTATGGTAATGATGGGTAGTAACCTCGCCTGGTTAACTAGTTTACTAGTTACTAGCCGGTCCTAAGCCCGGGTAAAGAGGGAAGGTTGGGCATAGGGCTAGCAACCCTACCCCGTAAAACAAATCTAACCGCTAAACAAACTTTAAAGCACAAACAAAATATAAAAAATGAAAACAAACTTATTCCCCGCTGGAATCGGAGAGGCGAAATGACGCCAGTTGGTGAAAGCCTTCGGGAAGCCAATTGGCCGATGTCTCTTCTCTCTCTCGTAGAAAGCAAAAGTTAAAGTGGGGACATGGAATGTCCGCACTATATTTGAACCCAGCAAGGCAGCCCAGATTGCAAAGGAGATGAGAAGGTATCACATTGAAGTGCTTGGAATTTGCGAAAGCAGATGGAATGGGAGTGGACTCTCCGAACTGTCAAATACAGAGTCAATAATCTACTCCGATATTGTCACCCAAACGACAACCACGAGCACACTGAGTTATTGAGTGGCTATCATGATGTCCCCAACAGCATCGAAGGCTCTCATGCAGTGTGAACCAATCTCCTCCAGGATCATGACAGCAAGATGATTCAACTCAAAAGGAAGGAAGGTCACAATCATACAATGCTACTACGCACCTACAAATAATGCAGAGCAAGAGAAAAAGGAGGAATTCTACAGACAACTTCAATCAACACTGGACAAGACGTCAGTTGGCGATATCAAAATTCTAATGGGTGGGGCGACATGAATGCCAAACTGGGAGGGGACAACACAGGAAAAGAACTAACCATGGGTCGAGAAGCGCTAGGTGAAATGAATGAGAATGGAGAATTGTTTGCAGAATTCTGTGCATTCAACGATTTGGTGATTGGAGGTGAGGCAGTGTGTTCAGGCACAAAGATATCCACAAAGCGACATGGATTTCACCAGATGGACACACTAAAAATCAAATCGACTTTATCTCAATCTGGAGAAAATGGAGACGCAGTCTACTTAACACAAGGTCAAGAAGAGGAGCAGATGTAGGTTCACACCACTATCTAATGCAAGAAACCCCTTCGAAATCAAGTTAAAAGCCTTCAAGGAAGCTGGTGATAAACCTCAGTTCAAGTACAACACTTGGAAACTGAAGGATGAAACTACGAAGGAGATCTTCACGGCAGCCATCAAGACAAAATAGGAGATATCGAGGAGCATACCTGAAGACACCTGTGTGGAAGAACACTGGAAGTCTTTGAAAGCTATGTGGAAAGAAACCTGCACAACAATATTAGGAAGGAAGAAGAAAGAAGATAAGGAATGGATCTCGACGGATACCTGGAAGCTGATAGAGGAGAGGAGGATGGTGAAACAGAAGATAAACCAGTGCAAGGATGCTCAACGACAAGAGGAACTGAGCACAATGTATAAAACACTGGATAAAGAAGTAAAGAAGAGTGCACGCAAAGACAAAAGACACTTCTACGAAACACTGGCAAGTGAAGCAGAACAGGCTGCAGGTAAGAGAGACCTGACGACATTGTATCAAATAACCAGGTTGCTATCAGGGAAGAGACCAACACAGATGAAACCAATAAAAGATGAAGAAGGAAATTTAATTACAAAAGAAGAGAAACAGAGGAAACGATGGGCCGACCACTTCAAGAAGCTCTTGAATCGACCACCACCTGCACTTCGTCCAGAAATACCACCTGCAGCCGCTGAATTACAAGTGAACATAAATCCCCCAACGAAAATGGAAGTCCTGAACGCCATAAAGCTACTGAAATGCGGGAAAGCAGCAGGACCAGATGGAATACCGCCAGAAGCACTGAGAACAGATGCAGAGACAACAGCGGACATGCTCACACCACTATTGCAGAAGGTGTGGAGGGAAGAGAAGGTACCTGACGATTGGAAGAAGGGTTACCTTGTCAAACTGCCGAAGAAGGGAGACCTCAGTGCTTGCAAGAACTGGCGAGGAATCACTCTCCTATCCACCCCAAGTAAAATATTAAGCCGCATCATCCTGGAGAGGCTTAAAGACGCACTGGATTCAAAACTGCGACCGGAACAGGCAGGCTTCAGGAAGTACAAATCATGTGCTGACCAAATTGCAACGCTTCGTATCATCATAGAACAGAGCGTAGAATGGCAATCAGCTCTATACCTCAACTTCATCGACTTTGAGAAGGCCTTTGACAGCGTCGACCGAGAAGTAATTTGGAAACTGCTTCAATACTACGGAGTACCGCAAACCTTTATCCGCCTCATTCAACAACTATATGAAGATGCCACATGCCAGCCAAGTAATTC